TTAAAAAAAAGTTAAACTGCTGTAGTCGAACAGTGGGTGCGATTTTCACAGGTACTTCTGAACTCTCTTTTGAACAGCATGGCTACTCATTGTGCGTATTGTCTGTCAGAAGCGATACTAGCCACATTTTCACTGCCATCTTTAAACTTCAAGTTTGGACCACATTGGACTTTTGGCCTTAACTCTTGCTAATGAATAGCCTTTTCATTTTTGTTTTGTACACATTGTCTTATAATAAACTACAGTGAAAATCCTTTAACACGAAATTGAGGGTACTGAAATATTTTTTCGTGTTGAAGGATATTGCAAAAAAACATATATTAAAAAAAATGAAGTTTATTAGAGTACATTTTATTTACATAGATATGTATGTATGTATGCACGTATTTAATAAAAATGAATGAAACAAGAACTTAATTTAAAATTAAATTTTCAAGTTTTTTGAAAAATAAAACATTTATTGAGTTTCTAGAAAGTAATTTGATATTTTTCTTTGCATTGTGTTTTTGTAGCATCAAATTGTTCAAAGTCATTCATTTTTTAAAATTTATTTCATCATTGGAATGTGTGTCAAAATAACTGGGCATACTTTCCATGATATTCCTCATTTCGAAGCACCCATTAGCAGTAAAGTCTCTGAACACTGGTAGTTTGGTCCGAATCCCGCGAATGGGCTGGCTGCATGGGTGTTTTCGTGGTTTTCCCCATGTATAACATATATCCCCATGTGTAACATATATCCCATGTGAAGGGAAACTGACTCATGTATATATATCTTCGAAAGTCCTCCACGAAGGCATCCCTCCCCTTAGGCAGATAGCCCACGAGGCTTTGCCATAATCACACACACCACTCCCACCTCATTTTGGATGGCATGGGAACAGGAGCTGCGTTATTCATTCCATTTCATCATCAGAATCTGCATCAATGATACTTTTTTAGCTTTGAAAAAACTCCAAAATGTCTTTGTCTGCCATAATTGGGGCTGTACACACATTATCATCATCTACTGCAATGACTTCTTCCAATGATACAGTAGAACAGTATAATAATACATAAACTTTCTCAATTATTTCATTAAGTGTCAGCTCTTTCAATATCCCATCCTCCTTCTCCATTTCTTTTGATGCCAAAGAATCCGATACTTTTGAGAAACCTGCATGAAGAAAACGATTTTCAATCGTTCTTGGAATCGCTGAATTCCATGCAGAATGCAACATAAGAAAGGCATCTAATAAATTGATCTAGAAATCTTCATTTGCTTTGATTGCAAGTAAGATATTTTCGAAGCAAATGTTTTTGGTAGAAAAATTTCATGTTTTGTAGAATCCCTTGATCACAAAGCTGCAAAACACTTGTTATATTCGGAGGCAAAGAGATAAGCTTTAAAGTTGCAATACAACTTTGAGGTGGACAATTATCAATCATCATTGCAACCTTATACTTTTCTTGTAAGAATCGCTCATCTAATATTATGATCCAATCAGTGAACATCATAGCTACCATCCATGCCTCCCCCTTTTTTTGTCTGTATATTTCACCGGTAATGTTCTTAGATTCTTAAAACACAATGGTTTCCAACTTTTATAACAACTATAATAACAAATAGGGGTAGTTTTTTAGACCCATCCAACTTGCATCCTACCAATACCTTAATCCATTCTTTAGACAGTTTCCCTCTTGAACACGATTGTCCCTTAAATGATAAAGTTTTACTGGGTACGCAGCGGTAAAATAACCCAGTTCCATCCTTGTTGAAGACATCTTTCGCTTCATATTTTTCAAATATTTAAAGCAACATAGACTGAAGCCAATTTGCTGTCATGGTCGGCAAAACTTAATTAGCTTCACTGCAACATTTTTTAGTACTATGCCATTTCTTTTCTTGAAATGTTCCAACCATCCTGGATTTGCAGAAAATCTAATACATATTTGTTTAGCAAGTTCATTGCTTATTTCTTGCTTTAAAGGTCCTGATATGGGAGCATTCTGATATCTTGCTTGTTTGAACCAAACAAGTAAAACTGTCTCTAAATCCTTGGTGTTTGGCCGTTCTCATACGTTTTCGCTCTGGCTGAAACTTACTCCGTTCAAACATTTTCTTAATTTGCTCTCTTTCTTTAATTATTGTTGATATGTAGAGTTAGCAATACTAAAATCTTTACAGACTTCCGTTTTTGTCTTCTGTTTGTGATCAATCACCTTAAGAAGCTCCATCTTCATTTTAAGACAAAGAGCAGTTTGCCACTGTGCTCGTAAAAAAATTCTTCTAAAATAAAAATGCAAACCAAACTCACTGATTTCACTGAAACTCACTGACTCACTGATACGGTGTACATGTCCCTGAATTCAATTGATGAGAGATAAGATGTTTTTGTGTGGCGTTTGTATGAAAGTAGGTTGAAAGTAGCTTAGATAAACAAAATTGGCTCGTGTCACAGGCTATTCCGAGGTTATTTCAAAACAAAGTTAACCTCCTTTCTATGAAACATGTGAAACCAACTCTCTTTCATTTCACACCTCTCTTAAATCTCGCCTGTGTGGCTGGTGTTTTTCTGTGTTACACGATTTTCATTTCATGTTAAGAGAAAAAAAAGGTGCATGAAAATACATACAGTCAAAAGTCGTTAATCCGGACACATCGAGACTTCAACGATTCTGGATTATCGAATTTTACGGATTATAGATCATCAGTTTAAATCTGGTAAGATGGCATGCAGAAATTATAAAATTAAAAATATGAAACCATAATTTATGAAATAAAGAACAATTATGATCTAAAGGGTATCAAAATTTACAAAAAAAAAAAGCTTAATATTTGTTTACTTTATTAAACATTTCTTTCAATGTAAGTTGTTTAGGTTGCTTCGTTTTTTTATGTGATAATACTTTCTCTTTAATTCTATAAACATACATAATTTCTTCTTCAGTTACAAAGTTCCACTGTTCAAGTCCTATAATTGCTGTGTCGAGAATACCGACTAATTTGTCAATCGAAATTTTTTCGTTTTCAATAACCTCTGTGTCACTTTCTTAGCTATTGGAAGCGAATTATAATGACGAGGAATTTGATTTTAATCATATCAAAGACGGAGTACATTGAGATGAAATACTATATTTAGTAAGGATTATAAGCCAAATAAAATAAAAACATCTGCCCTGAAGATAAGGATAGTGCTGACAAATCAACTTCCAATTCATTGCGCGCCATGGCGTTCCTCCCCGCCGCAGAGAAGCGCGAAATTGATAAACAGATTTCGGAATGGTTAGATAATCAAAGGATGCCTTTATCCATTTTTTGCAGCAATTCCACTTTTTTGTTTAATGGACTTCTAAACATACTTCCGCTTTGCAGATCCTTTACATATTAGTAAATATATATCGGAAATTCTATTCGACATAATCGAAAGTTCAAGCTTACTTTTATAAAATTGCTCTAACAGTCTGCAAAAAATAATAAGCCGGACCCAATTCGAAGATTAAGGAACAACGCAATCTGCAACATTAACTGAATTAGATAATTTTAGCTTAGCTTATACCGTCCGTTATACATTAAACGCACATTCATAAACGTATTTTGCGCATGCGCAGAAAGTTTGTAGCTTTCAGGTCTGGATTATGGATGTCCGAATTAATGACTTTGACTGTAGTAGTTTGTTGGGACCATTGTATTATTTCATGTTAACCAATATTTTGTCTTAAGCACTTTTGCATTAAACATATTTCACTGTATATCCATAGCTAATTTCATTTGTTTCTATCCAGCATTTCTTAAGATAATTGGCAAAAAGTGTTGCATCTTTTATTTTCTCCACCAGTGTTGTTTGTAACTCCAACAGATAACATCAGTTCACATTATATGATCTATCTATATTTTTGACTCCTGCGCCCTATTCATTAAAGAACACTGAGGGAAGACAATTTTGAATCTTGTGCTGAAACAATTGATCAGCCATCCACTCAGTATATGCAACTATAAGGCTGAGGGAATATGAATTACCCACACTTGATTGGAAATTGGGTTAACATGGGACCCATTGGTCCTTTGTTAAATATACAAAGTAATACAATAATGAAGTACAGAAGGAATACATATACAAGATATATAAAGAAGATTTGATATAATTTTCTCTTGCTCTTTACAAATGTACATGGGACATGCCATAATTTTTACTTGCTTTTAAATACTTACTAATTCATTCATATAATATGATTAATTATTCATAATCACCATGCCTTTGTTTTGAATAATATATTTCATAATTTGTTAAAGTGCAAACACACACCTTGTTATCATAGAATAAAACCTCCACTGGACTTTTTGGTTACAAATCCTGGTAGATGCTTTGCTCTAATAATTGAAAGTAATGCACATTAACAAATATAATACAATACAGGATATAAAATGCATATGAAGTCCACATTTTCAAGAAAGATCTTGCTCAGCATAAGGTTTTCTTTAAGATTTGTATAAAGGAAACACAAGGTTTCTTTTATAACAAACAAAACTAGAAACAACAATGTGATTTACATCCATAATGGACAAAACTCATAAAAACAGTTGGTGATATAAAAGTCATTTGCAAGGACTTCTTTCATTATTTCTGATGGTGACCTCAGTTCATTCATGGACAATTACTCCTATGCTAGACTAGCTAGAAGAAAGAAATAACAGCCACAAATAATTCATTTATATCATATTCAGATAAAACACACACACACACACACACAAAAAAAAAAAAAAAAAAAAAAAAAAAAAAAACTCACTGCATTATTACATATTTTAGGGAATTCAGGCTTGAATTTATTTATGATATAACCTCTTCATATTTGAGGATTCGTGGAAAATTCGAGATGACATTAAAGATACTCATAAACAGTTGGAGTTTTTTACCTGTCATTCACACTTAACACTTAGTTCTGAATCCTTAAACAATTACGGCATTACAATTTTAAATACGTTACAACTGTAAAAGACTTTAAAGAAATGAAACACTTACTATTGGTGGAATAAGGTCATAATGTAATGAAGGTCCACTTTTATAAATCTTATGCTCAGAGACAAAAACATAAAATGATCCTACAGCTACATGAAAAGTAGAAAATAAAATTAGTTGTCTAAATCTCTAAAACATTTTTAAACCAATTAAAAAACTAAATCCCTGCAGATATAAAAATAGAATTCAAAACAAAAGCCAATGCATACAATGTAAAACTTTTTAACATATTCTCACACCAAAGTGTAATTAACATAAATATCTCCAAATCTGGTTCACCAATCCTCAAAATCTGGTTCACCACAAAAGAATGAACACAAATGAGGGCATCATGACAAGGTATTTTTAAATGACTAAAATGTTAGCAAGAGAAACGTCTCGCATGATTTGGAATAGAACAATTCAGATATCCAGCTTCATCATCTTTGGGCAGATAAAACAAATTGGCAATTAGAATTACATGTTTTATGTTGATTAACCGATTATTCTGACACATTTTGATCTGTACAGCCACACTGACTTTCTGATCAGAGAGTTCACATCAAAACTCTTTTTCTTATCTTTAAAAAGTTTAACTCAGAAGTAACGCCATGAGTGGTTGCACTGGAACCAGTGTGCCAGTCTAAATGTTGCTTCTGTATTTACATACTCAATTTGGTCCTTAGAAGTTTCAATCCTAAAAGAATTACCAATTAGGCTGTGTTGGCAATTTCAATTAACAGATCTGTGATATAAAGCCATTTTATGTTATTAGGTTCATTTGTGTAAGATTTGATGTACTTGTATAGCAAAAAGTGTCACATTTTTAACAAATTAAAAGAAAATTGGAAGTTAGAATCAATTCATTAATCTCTATAATGGTTGGATTTATTGTTTTAAGCGTCAATTTGGATAATTGTAAAATGCACAGAAAAAGGATTGACTATTACAAGTTTTCTATCTTTGGAAAGAGCTTGTCCAAAGGAAGGTTTTGATGCAAGAATTGGAATTCTCGACAAGTGTTTATAGAAGAAACAGGAAGTTAGTTTTATGAAGCTTAAAAATTTGATCCATAACAGCATTCTATTATGAAATAATAAGGAAATATCAAGGTAAAGTCTTCAACTGATCTAAAATTGAAAATAGCCGATTACTACTGCAAGACTATATCACAGCTTGATAGTTAAGTTTTAATTTTCATTTCCATGTTTAAATTGCTAAAAAATATTAATTTTATCATATGATACCATAGTCATTTACAAAATCTTTAGAACTGTATTTATTTTTAAAATTTATCTAATAGTTTAATTCACCATTTTTCATTCTTGTAAAATAGACTTGCTTTATGCACACATTCACACTAGTTGTACTGGTACTGGTTCACAAAAGTTCACTAAAATTTAATACTTTAGAATAATATTACTGATTAAGTATTATTTAACATATAGTAAGTAGTTCTTGTACTACTCAAATGATTAAAACATTTAATCCCTAATATTAATTTTTCTAATATTTTTAAACAAACATCAATTACAAAAATAGTAACATTAAATTACATCAATATATCCACATCAAAGTTAAAGATAGCAAGTGTAACAATCAAAATAGAAAACGTAATGGTTAAACAACAATTACAACTATAGCATAGCAATGCAAACTAACAACCACTGCAACCACTGTGATCCCCTAGTGATAGAAACACTGCCTTACACGTTCACTGTATGCAGTAAAGTACAAAATACAATGACAAAGACATGAGCCATTGAGCGAAAAAGACCAGAAGAGCCTGATGAAACTGTTGTGTGCAGGAGGCACATGAATGTATAATAGACTTGGATGGCCTATATAGGCCAGTGAGGAAGTGATACCAAAGAAAGTGACTAAAGGTACAAAATCTCATTTTATGACTTTATTAAATTTAGTTACCTGTATGAACTTTAAAATTGCTAACTTTGAGGGACAACTTGAATGACTCAAGACATTGAGAACTATGTTAGAGGTGTGGTAATTCAAGAAAAACCAACACACAGCGTAGCAAGAGGAATAGATCAGTGCGAAGAATGTGATCACTGACAAGAAATGATAGGGAGCTAGAACGTGTAACTCTCACATAGCCAAAAAAAGCCATAACATCTGACAAATTTACAGATAAGCTAGTTAGACATAGAAACCCTGAAAGCTTAAAGTAGGGATTTATTTAGGCAAAAAGATTAACAAAGGAGGTGTACTCATTCAGGTTGCTTAAAAGATGACTTGAGAATAATATAGGTAGCAATATGGGAGAATAGAAAATTAATGGATTTAGTAGAAATTAAAAGACAGACAATAATTAACTCAAAAATAATTGTGTGATAGATTAATAGTGAACTAGAAAAGACGAATTTCAGAAACATCTCATTTCATAGAACCCAGAACTTGAAGGTTCAAACATAAAAGTCCTATTCCCTACGACGGCCAGGTAAAAAAAACATTAGGTAATCTAAATAGATCTCACAACATTAAAAAAAAATCTTAAAAATGAAGAAGATTAACATTCAATAGATGCAGAACAATGTAAGGCAATTCTTAACCCTTTAACAATGCTACAAATGTGTAGGATTTAATCATTCCGCAAAAAATTGCAAGGAAAATACAAGATGTGAAGAATGGGGGTTGAAAGACCACCAAAAAGCAGACGGTAAAGAGAAATTGTTAAAATGTTTAAATTGCCATGAGATCAACCAATGATTTAATGCAGGACTAATCAAAGACATGATACAAAAGTGCTTGCTATGTTAGAAAACTACAAAAGATAATGCCTAGAAAGCAACAGTAACATTAAATTAGCAAGCATTCAGGAACCTTACTTCAAGAATAGGAAACTCTATGGTTTTCATCTTAGTTAAAGAAAATTTTACAACAAAGTTAATGCAAAAATGGCAATATTTATTACAGAGAGCCATATGAGCATCAGGCATCCTATGCAACACAGACATTTCAGCAGTTAAGATAGGGTGGAGCTTAACCCTTTATTTTAGTTTCAGTTTACTGCACCTCCCTCTCAAAATAAGAGACCAAACGTTGCTAAGATAGATCTCATAAACAGAAATGAAGATACTCCAGCCATAATTGGTGGAGATTTCAACACATCTGTTGTGGGGAGCCAGCCAACCTGACCCAAGGAGACGCATCTTCTTCCAACCTAACAGTTATTAATGACCCTCGGAGTATTCCTATCTTTTCCAGGTCATGCAGTAATTCATGGATAGATTCCACATTACTAAAGAGAACAGATCCAATCAATATAAAATTTAAGGGAGGGGGAAAATATGTATAATTAATTGGTTTGTTAAAGTAATATATAATTTTGTTCCTTAATTTTGCTTTAAAATAATTCAAAAGACTTTTTATTAGTTCAACTCATTGCAAATTAAACTGATTGGAAACTTTTATTCATAATCATGAACAGCATTAAAATCTTATACAGAAAAAAAACTACAGACTTCCACCTTCAGCACACCTAACATCAACACATGGTGAATGAACAACCACATGGTCAACAAAACTCTTTAGTCAGAAAATCTGAGCAGTCATAATTTTATCAAATTTGATAATTCATAACTTTGATTAAGAAAACAGTGTGAAAAACAAACTAGGACTAAACCAACTGGACTAGTTTAAACTCCACCAAAATTTCCACAATAGATAGAGCTCTTCCTCCCAGGACTACTAGGATAAAGAGGATATTGATAAACATATAAAAGATGCAACAAACTTATGAAGGACCTATATGATATCCCAAAGAAGATTCAAAATGGCAACACCGCCAGGCACATATTAAACTCATGGTGGATATAGGAGTTATCCTTTCTGAGCAAAAAATGTATGGGTGTTCAGAAGACACTACCTATGCACAAACATGAAGGACATAAAAGATACAAAAGAGTTCAGGCAGACTACAAGCAAAAAATGTTTACCACAAATAGAGGTTTGTCTCAAACAAATTTTAAGGTAGCATTATGATCTCATCCCCCTTCTGCTCATATTATGAACTGGCCAAAGGCAAAAGCTTAATCTCACTACAGCTGAGCACCATAAGAAAAGGAGATGGCACTTTACCTTTGAAGAGTGGAACATTTGATTTTACCCAGTTGTCCAATTTGGATGACGAATACAGTTCGAATTAATCAAAAACTTCTACAGATCCAGAGAAATGCCCTCTTGAAAATAATAAAAGTGTTCTCCACCACATCCACAGCAGCCCTACAGACATTTGCAGGACCAATTCTGCTTGTCAAAATAAATGGGGACCTCATAATTCCACAGAATTGCTTAGAACCATGGCACATAACATCTTCACAACAACCCAGGATTTCCCTTGGTATAAATACTTACCCAGCAAGCAAAGTCTAGAACTCTTCAAGGATGGTTGGAAGATCAGCAAGAAGGTAGCAGCAACCTTTTCGTCTTCTATAACAACACAGAAATTTATTTGCAGTCCTTCCAGCTGAGTAACACAGCTTTCATATTTTAAGCAGAATATCAAGAACTTAGACAAGTGGCTCTTTGAGTTGGGCAGTCAAACTTTTCCCACATCTCGATCTTCTCAGACAGCAAGAGAGTTCTTTAAAGTCTTAAACATGAAAGACAACATCCCATTGCATATCTTCCCATTCAAGAACATTCGCTCCACATGAAACCAGGCATTACATTCTCCCTTTGTTGGGTAAGAGCACATCAAGGTCCAAAACGCAACAAACAGGAAGATAAGTTGGCTAAATTAGCCACCAATATGTCAGTCAACACATAGGTTTCAACACATAGGTGTCAAGCGCAGGATACACCATTACATCTCAGGGCTCTAACAAGATAGATGGGAGAAGGCCTCCATAGGATGCCACACCTACAACATCTTCACAGAGGTTTCAGTAGCTACCTCAAGACAGACTTCTTTCTCATTCAAGCAAACACAAACCACAGCAGGTTTCCAGCCTATCTCAACCGTTTTCTTAAAGATGTCAAGAACTCAGTGCATTCTTCACAGGCAGATGCACTACAATACATCTGTAATCAGGTAAAGATCTTTTGTGAGAAACTCTTCCTGATTAATTAAAGGACCGTAGACCTTCTGGCCCTATATAATGATTACTATTGTCAAAAAAGGATCCAAGAAATCATCAAATATGTAAATGTCACAAGCAACATCAAAATAAGACTGTAACAGTAAGTCTAAATCTCATATAGACCATGTCCAATGGGCTACAAAGTTACTGTAAATAGGGTATAAATTATATCATGTTTGTTTCTTTTTGTAATATTGTTGAAACAAAGGACGTACATCCACACAAAAGTCAATTGCTGTTGCAATGGCCAAAGTAATTTGTCACACCTATAGTGCCATTGGCAAAGCAGGTCATGGATAATTGTTATATAGTCTATAATGGTTTGCATTTTCTAAGGAAATAAAAACATTTTCAATATCTAGGGAAAAGAAGTCATATTTGGAAAATCTTGATCATCCTACTCACCACCAAAGCCACAGGATAGAGATTACTAAGCGTGGGCTAACCAAAACCCTGCATTCAAAAAGGCATGTGAACATTGTTCTCTAAAATTCCTTACCCCAAACTAATGACACTCAGAATGCGTAATCAGCTTACTGACATTACACAGACTCTTAAGTGTCTTTCATTTATTTGAAGAAGAGGCAAATATCAAATACTTGGAGTTTTCCTCTCTTTTAGGGATTCATTTTTAAGAAATATTCTAACAGAATTACAGTACTGTATATCCAGGCAAACCTTTAACAATTAATTTTAATAATTTTATTCACTCCAATTCTAATTAAAACAAAGTGTAATGAGAGATGAAGGGAAAACAATCATTCATACAATGAAGCTTAGAAATCAAACTTGATTTATTACAATTTAGAAAACTAAGGTACTACAAAATAATTAAATACATTTATATACATTCATAATACTAATATGTCAATAAGTTTATAAATACAGAAAAAATTTAGTTAAAGTTATGCTTAGAAATACAATTCTAAATCATACAGTGGCATTCACCATATATTTCACCAAACATGTACACTGCACACACAAAAAAGGGGGGACAGTTCTGTATCTCCTGTTCTACTGCGCCAATTGACAAAATTCAAATTGCATTTTTTATGTGTCAAAAGTGCAACTTAAGATATTTATTAGATTTATATATAGCATTGTTCTAACATAGCTACTAACCACACAAAATTGGACTTTTTCTGAAATAACATAACAATTTTTTTTCATATTTCGATTCTACGACTCAAATTATACCTAGATATTAAATTTTGTAAAATTTGGTGCGAAAATTTATGGAGACATTCAAAAATTTATCTTGCCTTTTTTTTTTTTTTTTTTTTTTTTTGAGTCAAAAATAATTCACTTGGCAAACTTCTTAATATATGGCAACCAATTTTCCTTTCCATTACGCCGGAGTGGGAAAAAAAGGCGCCTCGTTCCTACCTTTTTTACAATGTGTGTGAGCAGAAAAAAAATTGATGCTGCTCCTACTTTCAAATAATTTTAGCAAAGCGTCTAAACCACATTTGATGTTTTATCGCTTTCAACAAATATGCCAAATTTGAAAATGCGCCAATTTTTAAATTCACATATATCTACAGAAATTTTGAATAAAAAACTGTAATTTGTTGCAGGTGCACTTAGAAATATGTCTATGTTAAATGATAGTAAAAATTTATACATTTTAACTCAATTTTTTTTTGAAAATTTTATAAAAATTATTTAAAAATACAAATTAAAAAAATAAATCATAAAAAAATGGGTGAATTTTATTTTGAATGAACTTGAATTTCGAAATGTGAAAGGAAGAATTAAATAAGTTTAATAAATAAGTTTTTTGCACAGTGTACATGTTAGATGCACAACAGCCTTTTTTTCCCTCATAAAAAATATTTAAAATTTTTATCTTTTACACTAAAGTTCACGTTAGAAAGAATTATAAAAATGAAACTCAATAAAACAATCATAATTTAAATTGAACACTTCAAGAATGCATAAAAATGCTTGAATTCTCATCCTTTGTAAAATCTATAAAAGCACAAGATAAAAAAAGAAGACAAAGAAAACAATATACACATGGTTTTAATGATTTGAAAGTTATTTTGTTTAATTTTGTTTAACTTGATCTTGCGCACAAAGATACTGCTACCTTTATATGAAAAGTAGAAACTGGACATGTAAAAAAAAATTTAAAAAATTAACAGCTGCTTAGAAGAAGAGAACAAACGGATCAGGATTTTAAAAAAGAGAAAACAGCAAAAATTAGATAATGCAGTACATAATTTAAAAAATAAAATGAATTTAATTAATAATTTACCAGCAAAAGAAACCACTGCAAGCTTTCCCATAAAAAGCAAGAAGTCAGTTATTTTGTCCAGGACAACAACACTACAAATATAAATGTTTATAATTATCATCATTAAAAAATGAAAATAAGAACAAAAAATACATTTTTTGAATTGAGGCTTCATATGATTGAAGCAATGCAAATACTTACCGTACAATATTTCTCATCAATAGCATGAAAGCTTTTCTTGCTGAAGTACAAAAGTTTTTACCATAGATGGCAATCTGCAAAAAATATTTCAATTTTTTTTCCATATGGTTGATTACACAATCTTGCTGCTATGTGATTATACTAATATTTTTAAATTTTACAATTTATTTATGTATTTTGCTACAATGAATCATACGTTACAAAAGAAATATGGAGAGTCCAGAGCAGAAGTGAAAGAAATTCAGTTTTTTCACTTCATGAGGTTTCTCATGATAAACATTCATAAAAGTAAAATCTTTCAGTGAATCAGTCTTTAAGTGATTTTAATGCTGCAATATAGGAGAAAGTCTTTGTACTCTGTTTCCCATTCATTTCTGATCGTCTTCCACAAATTTCCATCACTGTTTTATAATTCAGTTTGTTATCAAATAAAATAATCATCATGCAATCATTATCACCTTTGTTTCATCATTAATTTATTTGCTTCTGTGAGCCTATTGCGTGCACTAGGCAAATTTCATGACCAAAGCGAGTTCTCATTTCAATTTTTCACCGAACAAAAGGGAAAGTGCTTATAGCTAATCAATATATGGCAACCAATTTACAAATTTGCACTTGCAGAGGTAATTATTTATTAACATGGTAAGCGGTTCACTTTAAATCATCTGATTTACAAAATATATATATAATATATAATTTCAATAAAAAATATCTACACTTTAACCTGAGAATACACAAAATGTACGAAATGTACATACAGAAATGCAAAGGCAAGAGCAAAATTCCTGCCAAGGAAAAATGTTATTATAATATGTTCAGTTTGCATTTGAAACCCTAAAGATACCAGCCAAATTTGTGATGAACTCAAAGTGAGAATTAACTGTGAACAAAATGAAAATATTTAAAAAAATTTACAAACTGAAAAATAAATTTAAATGGCAAAAGCAGACTAAGTTACGATTTTTCCTTAGACAAGATAAGTTCCTCACCTCTAGCACCACTTACACAGCAACTTAAAGCATTACCACTCCAAAAATTGACCATATCAACTTCACACGAGAGAAATTAGTATGTATACAATTTCGGAATGAAAGTGAGGGATGCAAAGAGTTCCAAGATTTAGTGCCATGCTTAGTGAAACACTTGCAAGCACTTGCAGCAACCAGTAAACACACGACTTTTTATTCTGTTTTATAGATTGGTCTGAATTGCGATATCGAAGTGGCAAAAACTTTCATAAAACTTGCGCACAATAATGACATGGCTGTGAAAACCACTGACCATAAATTTTTAATATCAGGTCACTCTTAACTTCCAGATGATTGGGATTTTACATACTTGCCTGAAAAGTGGATCAAAATAGTGAATCAAAATGTAAGTCCTTAGTATTTAAAGTCGCAAACATAAAAAGAGATCCATGTAACAAATCGGAAAATAAAAAATAAAAAAAAAAACTGTATCTCGAAAAGGATATTAGCAGTTTAAATTTTCAGTAGATGAGGTACAAGAGAGGGTCACTACTCTCTTTTAACTTCTTTGGATGATTTGGCTCCCTTTGAAACAGTTTCATTGGAGAAAAATCACCAGTAAGAAATGTGATCAAATTAAATAATATTGTGCAGGAAACTCTCTATCCTAGTCAATGAATACTGCTGTAGCAAGTAAAATAACAGACAAGGTTGACTAGTTATCTTTTATTCTACTCATCTTTCACAAATATTATAAACATTTACCTTTTCAGTCACCAACTAGGTTGTCAGCAAGAACAAGTTGTGCAGTTGATCAGGAGGGAACAGATGAAATATTTCATGTTGACAAATGAAGATACTACAAGTGTTCTCCAAAGTTTTACATAATATTTTTAATTGTTCCTTCAAATACCATTACTTTATTTTTCAAAAATGATATTTTGTATAAGAATTTGAAATTTTCATAGAATTTCCCAATTTTTTCATTTATTCAATAAAATTGCACTTGACAAAGTAATTATTTATTTATTCAAGATTAAATTCTCAGTGAATTTTGAACTTGATTCTCTTGAGTTCTGATTGTTTTCCAAACAGCAGCGAACCAAGTCCCCATGTTGTTGTTTTTTGCATAAAACAGCATGCAAAATTAATTCAGACGAATTTTTTAACATGGTAAGCGGTTCACTTTAAATCATCTGATTTACAATATATATATAATCATATTTTTAGGTGCATCTCAGAATTGATTTTATAAAAAAATTTTTAAGAGGCAATATTTCAAAATCAGATATGATCGTCTTGGTTCACTTCTACTCTGAACTTCTATATGTCAGGGCCTGTGTGCATACTTAAGTACTTTTTCATGTTCACATATTGCCTGAAGCTATGCAATTAGATTTTAAAACTGAGAGAAAAATAACTGCATCCTTTAATTATAACTGCTCAAATTTCCAAAATACTACCAGCACTCTAATTTTTTATACCTTAAAAAGCAAATCTACAAAGCTCATATTAAAATATTAATATTACCTTAAACATATCTTTCTTAACAACTTTTAATCAATCATTTTGGTAAAAAAAAAAAAAAAAACTGACATAAGTTACATTTTTCCACATTCCATGAGGAAGAGTTATAATTCTAAAACTTTATTAACCAGTTAACCCCTTAGTCAAAGGTTTAGTTTAAATAATTGATAATTGCAGAAATTTTGGAGTCTGTGATAAACATATCACACTTGCAAATGCAACAATTGTCAACTATACGAATACACACTTTTTATCTGAATAAAAACTTCTAAGTAAAGTAAAAACAAAATATTAATTTTTACAGAATGAAATCAATGTCAGAAATATAACATTTTCCTTTTCAAAAAATCATTCTCTACAGAAATAACCAAACTTTTCAAAACAGAATTAAACTCAATTTTTAATGAGTGAAAAGTCTACTGATTATAAATATGATATTACTCATTATAATACCATATTAGTTCAAATATAAAATTATTTTAATTCCTTTCTTCAAAAACATATTTGTTTTATATACACAGCTTTAACCTTTTAAAAAAGGGTTAAAATAATTTTCATATACTTCCATAATAAGAAAAAAATATACATACTTATTTTTTACTTCAAGGTATACACTTAAAAAATCTGCATTCTTTTCTTACAGAATATTCTTGAATAAGCTCACATGCAAATCTTTTCTTACAAAATACCCGTCACACTTGAATCCCCCCTTATAAGATTTTTTTTTTTTTAATATTTGGTCAATATGATATATGGAAATGCTCATTTATATTGCTAACATTATCTGCTCAGGAATAGAGATAAAAATTTTATTTATCTAAAAGTTCCAAGTTTTTAGATAATTTACCAATAATGGAAACCAAAACACAGTAAAAAAATTGTAATAATTAATAAAAAATCATAAAACCTATTAAATCTGATTACTATACTACCCACAAAAATTTAATTACAACAATTTAGGTATAATCTGCTTATTTGTTAAGAGAGGATCAGTATACTGTCAAAAACTGAAAAGCTTAATCCTAAAAATTACATAATATGTACGTAATGAACCTGGTATGTACGTAAGAAAGTTAAACATATTTTACACAAAAAACAATAACAATAATAAATGGCTAAAATGGGAAAATCCTACCATTAAATGGTGAAAGGTAAGTATTAAATGATATTGCATGGTATTGCATATTGTGAAATAAATTGAAACAGGAGGATCGGAAATGCATGCGTTCTAATTAAAATTAAAAACTATGATAAATGAGCAAACCTGAGAAATGGGAACATCTACGTAATGAGAATGCTGGGTTATTAAATGAAGGCAGCAAAAGCATGCCCACTCAATTTTACAAGAAACATAAAAGTGCAAAAGCACGGAGGAACCAAAATTAAGAAAACTGATAAAAATTTAAAACATCACAATAAATCTAAGACAAAATCCTTTGTAGTCAGAGTTAATATTGGACACAGTCAAAAGTCTTTAATCCGGAATGATCTATAATCCGGACCTCAAAGCTACAACTTTCTGCGCATGCGTAAACGCATATATGTGTTTATGCATGCACATAATACGTTTACACATGCACATTTAATGTATAACGGATGGTGTAAGCTAAGCTAAAATTATCTAATTATCTATTTCAGTTAATGTTGCAGATTGCGTTGATCCTAAATCTTCTCATTGGATCCGGCTTATTATTTTTTGCAGACTGTTAAAGCAGTTTTATAAAAGTAAGCTTGAACTTTCGATTATGTCAAAAAGAATTTACGATTCGGGAGCTGCCAAAGGATCTACAAAGCGAAAGCATGTTTCGATGTCCATCAAAAAAAATGGGGGGGGGGCGGAATGAACTGCAAGTTGATCTGTCAGCACTATCCTTATCTTCAGGCATGGCAGATGTTTTTATTTTATTTGGCTTATAATTCCTTACTAAATATAGTATTTCATCTTGATGTACTCCGTCTTTGATATGATTAAAATCAAATTCATCGGCATTACAAATATCACGAATACATATCAAATAGTTTTCTGGTTGCAATTTTCTAATTTCGACTATGCGTAACGTACGCATGCACACGTTGAAAGAAACGTTTAATAAAGTAAACAAATAAATATTAAGCTTCTTTTTTTTTTTTGTAAATTTTGATACCCTTTAGATCATAATTGCTCTTTATTTCATAAATTACGGTTTCAAATTTTATATTTTTTAATTTATAATTCTGCATGCCATCTTACAGATTTAAACTGATGATCTATTAATCCGGAAAAACTGGTTAATCGAGAATCGCCGAAGTCCCGACAGTCCGATTTTAAAGACTTTTGACTGTATAATGTTACAAAATAAATAGCTTGATGAACCAGAGTATGACAATGATTCTCATTTAGTAACAAAAAGGGATTATTCAGAACAGAAATTTATCTATATATATATATACGTATATAATGGAACTTTTAAAGTAATTTATATATATAATGGAACTTTTAAAGTAATTTATATATATAATGGAACTTTTAACGTATTGTGTAACTTGTTACCTAATTTATTTTTTTTTTTTTACTGACTAGTTGTGCTAAAGTGGTTCTT